AACCTCAAACTCCTGGGCTCAAGCAATCCTTCTGCCTCAGCCTCCCGAGTAGCTGGGACTACAGGCATGTACCACCATGCCCGGCTCATTTTTTCTATATATATTAGTTGGCCAATTGATTTCTTTCTATTTATAGTAGAGACGGGGTCTCGCTCTTGCTCAGGCTGGTTTCGAACTCCTGACCTCGAGCAATCTGCCTGCCTCGGCCTCCCAGAATGCTAGGATTACAGGCATGAGCCACCGCGCCCGGCCAAGCACAGGAAACTTAAACAGACTAAAACCTAAGCACAATAACAGGAAAGAAATTTGGGAAGCAGTATAGTTTCTGGCAACTAATGTTGAGGTCAGACTGCTTGGGTTAAATCCCCACTCATTCCCTGCCTGAGGTTGGCCTGGTTATTAACCTCTCGAAGCCTCAGTCTTCTCATATATATGATGGGACAATACTCACTAGTGTCAGGATTGGATACGACGAATATAAATGATACTTCTGAGGATGGAATAAGATGAGGTATGCGTAATAGTTATTATGGTTTTGGGCACATCATAATAAGCATCCACTATCGCCAGCTATCATTATTTAGAAAGTAAAAGCATTATCAGAGTTATCTCCTAAAAATCCATATCTAGATGGTTTGACAAAAGAGTTATTTCAAACTTTCAGGGAACATGTAATTCTTATGTACTATCGGCCAATTTAGGGCACAGATGGAAAACTCTGCAGGCCCATCTCACATATGAATACAGAGATAAACATATGGTGATATCAAGAAGTTAGCCCAGCTTGGCCAGGAAATCGATTATCACAACAATGGAAACTAACACTGAGAATTTATCACGTACTTTAATCCTCTCACTCTATGAAAATAGCCATGACCACCATTGCATAGATGATGAAACCAAGGCGTAGAGAGGTTGAACGATTTGTCTTGTTCCCTGGTTGGGGGAGTCACTGACTCAAAAGCCTGAATCCCAATCATTACAGGGAGCTGCCTTTTATATAGTACAAATATGACATCTATAGATCCAGTTTTAGAAATGATGATCTTGGAAAAGTGCAAAGAGCATTTGATGAAATTGAATACTACTTTCTAATTTTTTCCAGTTCATAAAACATAAGTATGAGGAGCGTTTCTTACTACAATAGAGAATAATAAATTGGTGCAGGACTGATAACTGCACCAAATAAGCACTATCTTAACAAATGGTAAAATATTTTAGCAGTTATCTGAGGACAAGGATGTCTGCTGTGACCATTTTT